CCCCAAAACCCCAAAACCCCAAAACCCCTTTTAACAGGATTTTTATTGAAAAAGTCAAAACTTTGTTAAGCATATTGAAATCGGTAAGACTACAGCGATGTGGATGGATCATGAGGTCATCTTTGGTTTAGATTTTTAATGAAAAAGACTGGAATTAGGAAGTTAATGCTAAATATCGACCTTTTGAGCAACATTTTGCCGTATTTTAGCAATGCGAGGTGAGGTACAAGGTTGATTTTGTAGTGAATGCTGTGTCCTGATGCTGAGGTTATGCAAAACTACTTATGATAACCTTATTGGATACAAACAAGCCCTGATACTTGATATCTTTAAGGATTGTAAGAAGGATATGATGATATGAGAATTGACAGAGGAGAAAATTAATAAACTTGTTTGAACAGAGGAGTATGACTATTTTCATAATTTTTAGATCGAAGTTTCAAATTTCGGACAATTCCTACTGCATTTACAACCTTGGACTAAAATGAATGGATGAAAGTAGCTATTCATTATGCTTGAAACTTCTCAACAAAATCGAAGATCAGAAGCACCCTTTAAGATACTCTATAAGCACAATAGATGTTGGGAATATTACTCAGAATATCGAGCTTTACAAGCAATTATGTGACAAAGTGGTCTCGCTAGGTCTTGAGCTAAAAATTATCAGAACTTATGTAACTGACCTCAGCCCTGAGATCCCATATCTTTCCATTTGCTACCTTGATCAGACAACTCCATTAGATTCGGAAGCAAAGGTCGGCTCTCTTGCCCTGGATGCTGAATCTGGCATCGTGTTTGTGAAAACAGCATGCAGATATCTGAACACATGCAAGATCTCTTGAGAGACTCTCAGGATCCAGGATGAGTATTTTATTGAAATGTACAGCAAAAGGAAGGACTACTCCAAACACATACGAGAGAGCACTCAAGCTCTTAGGATTGTCATCAAAGCCTCTGAAAATTATGAAGAAATCATAAAGAGCCTAAACTGGAGCATTAAGACTCAATTTCCTAATGTCAGAGAAATTTGCTTCCAATACGAAGAAAATCAGCTAAAGGACTTCAAGATTTTAAGAGAAGTCTTGCTCTTGAAAAAGCAATTTGGGGAGATCTTCATTAATGAAGAAGAAAACTTGAATGGAGACTACCTTCAAGCTCATTACACTCCTGTGTTTTTCAAGTATGATAATGAATGGATATCTTGTTATGTCAAAACACTCAAAGTTAATTATGACTGCTGCAAAAATCTCTATGATATCAACGATACTAACATTGCCTTATGTGGTATCACAGAGTTTCAACTAGAAGGTATGCTCTCTACTCCAAAATTAGAGCTTGAGGATGACCTTCCTACCGAACTTCTAAAGTTCTTAGATGCTGAGAAAGATCTGATTATCATTCCTAAAAAGAAGGTGTTTATCAACAGAAATGAAAATTTTACACCTGAGTTTGCGCATAAATTTGATTTCAGCACAACAAATCTGTTCTACATCAACGAAATCTCTTATGAAAGAGTCGAGGAGGTCATTGAGAAGAGGTCTCCAGCCCAGCTAATGGATATAGACCTTGAGAACTCAGACTACGAAGTCACCAAGGAATTTCTTGACATGTGTTTTAAGGGAAAATCCAGATACTTAACCTTCCAAAATTCAAAAATGGACGATTCTTCTTTTGTCCATCTTCTCGATTGGCTGATGCAAGATAAGATCTTGGACTATCTCGAATTCCACGGCCTGGACCTAGCTAGGCTTGAAGAGCTACTCAATACTCTCAAAGGGCGCCCTTGCATGCTAAGATTGGTCCTTTTCTTCTCCAAAGAAATGTACGGTCAGGAAGAAAGCTTGTCAAAAATCAAGGGTAAATATTGGCTAATTTGATCCATTTAGACTTAGTAAAATCCTACAGAGAGACAAGACCATTTGTATATGTGACTGTAGATTCAGAATAGGAAGATTTCAACATCAATGGATTCCAGAGGGGTTTTGGGGTTTTGGGGTTTTGGGGG